ATTGAGGAATTTCCAAGACCATCCTTGAAGAAAGAGGTTTGATTTTTGGGACTGGACGGATTCTACCTGAAGTTTGTACCAAACTTTAGTAGTGTGGAGGCACCGCTGACAGATTTGCTAAAGAAGAATATTAGATTTCGGTGGACAGAACAATGCCAGGAGGCATTTGAGAACGTAAAAGCCGTGTTAACCACCTCACCAGTTTTAGCCACACCAAAATTTCTTGAAACCCTCTAAAGTCACAATCGATGCCAGCAATGTTGGGGTTGGAGCAGTGTTGATACAGGAGGATGATGGCGAAATTGAAAAGCCAATTGGTTATTTTTCAAGGAAACTCAATATCCAGCAGGGAAAATACTCCATTATTGGAAAAGAGTTATTGAGTTTGGTACTGGCCTTACAAAATTTTTGTGTTTATGTTACAAACAATGCTTCGGAGACAGTTGTGTATATGGACCACAACCCACTTCTCCTTTTTAGAAAGATTTAAGGACAAGAAGACGAGACTGTTTCATTGGAGTCTTAAGTTACAGGCTTTTAATTTACAGATTGTACATGTTGCACATTGTAAAAATGTTACTGCAGATGCATTATCGCATTTAAAAGAAAATGTGTAGATAAGATAGAACCGGTACTGTCCAATGTTACATATGTATGCAGAATTAGTATGAAGGGTGGAACTTTAGGTTACTGACCTATGTATCTCATGATAATGGTATTAAGATTTAAAGATGATGAGATAATGATGAGATAACAAGGTGTAGAGCTGGATGAACACAGCAGGCCAAGCAGCATCAGAGGAGCAGGAAAGCTGACATTTCGGGTCTGGACCCTTCTTCAGAAATGGGGGAGGGGAAGGGGATTCTGAAATAAATAGAAAGAGAGGGGGAGGCGGATGGAAGATGGATGAAGGAACAGATAGGTGGAGAGGAGACAGACAGGAGGCGGGGATGGAGCCAGTAAAGGTGAGTGTAGGTGGGGAGTTAGGGTGGGGAATTAGGGTGGGGATAGGTGAGTCCAGGGAGGACAGACAGGCCAAGGAGGCGGGATGAGGCTGGTCAGTAGGAGGTGGGGCTGGGGCTTGAGGTGGGAGGAGTGGATAGGTGGGAGGAAGGACGGACAGGTTAGGGAGGCGGGGACGCGCTGGGCTGGTTTTGGGATGCGGTCGGGTGAGGGGAGATTTTGAAGCTTGAAGCTTGAACCCCTTTTTATAATGGTGGTTTTGTTTTCTTAAGGAGGGGTGTGTAACAAAGTTGTGTAGTGTGTGTGGTTCCTTTAAGAGATAAAGTGCTTTTCTAAGCTTAGAGATTGATAGACAAAAAAAGTATCTGCATGTAGCTGAGGATGTACAGCCAGTTCTAAAATGGAAACATGTATCAATTGGCTGTGTGATTGGAAACCTTAAGCATGTTTTGCTGTTTAGGCAATGAGCTGGAATTAGCCAATTAAGTTAAGCCAAGCACTTAGCAATTGAAAGCCAATTGAATTTAAATCTAATGGTTTTGACAGCCTTGGACCAATGCTTTTGTAAGAAAATTGATATGTCATCCAAGAGATATAAGGAGAGGGTTTTTGAAAATCTGTGTGAGAGCAAACTGCCATCTGAGAAATAAACACCAACTCTCACAAGAAATCGCTAAGCTTTCTAAGAGAGCACCATCTTATCCATAAAAGGTACCATGGGACTTCTAACTAAGAGTCTTCACAGAGAAACCATCCCTGACAGCAGGGATCAGTGGATGAAAGGCATTTATGACTTGAGAACAGCAGAAGAAAGGCCTTTATGACTGGAGACAGTGGAGAAGGTAAAGCATTCCAGAAGAGACATTCTGTGTGGACTTTGAGAGACTTAGTTTTAATTTATTTTTTTCTTACTACTTGGGTTATATAAGTGGGACTTTGTTTATTGGAATAGCATACCAGTAGAATTATGTTCAGTTAGAAAATAGACAGGAGTTGGAGGGAATTGTTCAGTTTGTTAGTAGTTCTGTTAATTTGTTAACTGTTAGGGTTAAATAAATAACTTGTTACTTGTTACTTATAAAATCAGGGGTTTTCTTTCATTTAACCTGCCCTTCTCTATTAACAGTTTAACAGATCAGGCGAGGTGAGGCGATCTTTGAGTGTTTCAGGTTTAATTATTAGAAGGAGATCTGTACTCTTGCCATAACAGATTGGGATTTGTGTTTCAATTTTTAATTATCAGAGAGGTTCAATATCCCCACCCTAACACCCATGATTAATGTACTGCCTTTGTTACATGCCCTCTTGATTTATTGCCTGACCCACCATACAGCTACCATCAAGGGACATATAGAGTATGCTGACCAGTGTCTTTTCTTATTTTTTTTATCTCCACCCATATGGATTCTACATCTTCCAAGCCAAAATCATTACTCACATTTGTTTTTATTCAATTCTGTACCAACCATTCTACCCCACCATCCTTTCCTTCCTGCCAATTCTCTCAAAACATCACATACCCTTGAATATTTAGTTCCCAGCTTTGATCGCCTTGTACCCATGTCTCCATAATGGCTCTCGGACTATACCTGTTAACCTGCATTTTTGCCATTAATTAATTTATTTTGTTCTGAATGCTATCTACACTCAAATAATGACCCATTAATTTTGCCTTTCTACAAAATTTCTCCCATACACCCTTTTCCCTGCAGTCTACCTATGTTTGTATACCCTGTCCCTTCCTGCCCATTCTGTGTATTGTTATCCAAATACTGCCATATCCTCTTGTTTTGTAAGCCTACATTTCCCCTTTCTTAGAGGGAATTATTTAATTAGAGGGAATGAAAGGGTCCAGGTCTGCTTAATTGTACCTGAAAATTGTAATTGAGTCCACATCTGGCATAGGTTTCTGATTTGAATATTTAAATAGCCTATTTGCTACTTCTGTGCAGATTGGTCTCCTATTTACAAGCTTGCCTGAAAATGTTATCAGCCTAGTCTTGGATGTTAATGGCTGATTGAGGTGCACTCCAATGACCAATTTTAATTAGCTTAACTGTCTGTTTCACGATTATGATGGTCAGTCATTAAAAATTTAATTCCCAAAGTCTTGAAAGACATAATTTCACAAACTGGCTTGTCGAGATTTGATCTACATTTCCTTTTATCTGTGACAGTACTATGGCTTTAAGAGCTATGTTTTGTCTTTTTTTTGAGAAGAGAGATTAAGATAGAGGTACCAAGTGGTCTGCTTTAAACCAATAAAGTAAACAGTTTGTGATGCCTTGGTGATTTTTTTTTTTTTCTAGATTGCAACAGTAGAAACAGGCTGAATGGGTGGGGTCAAGCTCCCGCAGAAGTACGATTTTAGTTTTAGCTTTCAGTAACAGTTGCTAGGGTCTTGAAGCTGGATGTGGAAGCTGTTACAGCTAAAAGCTTGAGTTATCATCTTACTGCTAGATTTGCATGTGAAACAATGTATTTTACTGACTTTGTTTTTGCCCAGAGAGTGCTTATGGGATGTTACTATACTGGAACAGTTAATGAGTAGTTTATTATTTTGTTAGTTACTGTTAAGCCAATTCTTTTATTTTTATTTTGTCTATATTTTAACTGTAGTGTTTGAATAAAGTGTGTTTTGCTTCAAGCCTGGTAGTTTGACCAATTGAATTGCATCTGGAATGCAACTCCTGGCATTTGCCTTTTAAACAAAAAAAAGTGAAGGTCTAGGCTATCCCCTTGATGTGTTTTGAGGAGATTTGGTCTGGTCCATAACACATCCCATTAAGTTAGAAATCATCATTTGAGTACATCAGAGGGGGTGCTTGTGGTACAGTAGTAGTGTCCTTATCCCTGGACAGGGTGGCCCAGGTTGAAGTACCACCTGTACCAGAGATGTGTAATAATATCTCAGAACAGGTTGATTAGAAAAACATACTAATTTTTTTTGGAAAGTCAGTACGTCAGAAATTGTGAAAGCTAACATGAGATTGGGAGAAGAGAAAACAGAGCGATTGGTTTTGGATTGCTCCAGCAAACAAAAACTACTGCCGTAGTTGTCCAATTAATGCTGTAAGGATGTATGCTAGGAGCCAAGGTGACACTTTAATTTCTTAGATTAGTGAGATCCATAACAATCTTTACATGTGCTAGGCCTAAAGGCAGATTCTTTCCCCATTATCTTCTGATGCTTCACCCCACATTGCTGTCTTGGTGATTTGCCTCCACATTCAGGAACAGGACAAAGTTAGCCGCAGCTGGAACAAGAATCAAAACTGCACTGTCAGTAATATTCTGAACCACAAACCAACAATCTAAACAATTGAGCTATGTAGCTCCCAAGACTCCACCAGTTTATGAAATTAATTCATATTGAACAACCTTTATAAACAGACAATCCTATCAAGATTACAGGCTGACTGTTATGTGTTTTTGGCTGTGTACAAGTTGTGTCAAGTTTACTGGAAGGATTTCCACTGTAAGGCCGAGTGAATTCTCTCGCTGTATTTTACCAAACTTGCCACATTAACAATCAATCCTTCCTCTATGGCATCCCTAACATTCAATGTTGGCCCTGTCATACCATGGTCCATTCGCAGAATAACTTCTCACTCATTGGAAAACTGCTAGAAAATTGACATACCTTGTACCCACACCATGTTTAAAAGGCCATTATGCAGCCAAATGAACACTAGCGTTCCAAAGCTGCTCACCTTGCCCAAGATAATTGTCAGAAAGGGGAAAACATCACTTTGAATCTCCCAAAAGGACCTGGAGATCCTGTGCAAGTGTTGAATCTGGCTAGAGGAACCTCAGCATGTCTGGCCCCTGAGCTCGCCTGACCAAACCTTTAGAGTCAATGTACTCTGCTGCTGAGAAAGCTCCCTCCATCCCAGCTGTGAAACCAGGGAAGTACACTAAGGTGTGGTGGGAGAGAGAGCAGGAAGACCTATAGAGGTCTCTTTGGTGATAATGGGTTGGAATCAATTTTCCACTTTTGTATAAAGTTCACTGTTTTACTTACATCTGGTTGTTAGGCCTGAATGGCATGGTGGCAGCGTCAGGCATCGCTTCATGGCCACAGATGAAGTTCCATGGATGGAGGTCTGTGCTGAGATTCTGCCAAATTGTCTACAAACAAGAGGTACAATACTTTTTCATGTCACTAGGTCATACTGACATTTTTGGCCGTCCTGCTACAACATCCCTATTCTTTAACTGCCACTGTATGCAAGCATCCAGTTGTCCATGAGTTGTTCAGCAACATCTGCAGGAGAGAGGTCCAGGAACTCTCTCAAAGGGGAGCAATGAATATGGGTGGCCAGTAAATTGGAACCCCACAGATCTGTGTCAAGCGCAGAACATGGGTCTGTGTGCAAAGTTCTTTCCCTTTAAAAGCTCTACCGTTGTTGGATCCAGCAACTCCCTCCCTCACTCATTGAGTCGCGTACCCCATCCATTCCAAGTGTGGGTACAGTAATTTTCCTCCCCATTGCTCAGTTTTGATTTCCAACCTATACCTGAATATATCAGTAAGTCCTGAACATCCAAATTCACATCCTAGTAGCCAAAAATTGTAAAACCCATAGGCTTTGCACTTCTACAGGTTCTCACACAAGATGTCTGTATGCACTTGCACCTGCACTTACCTACCTTTCCCACTCAACCCTGGCATAGGAGGTGGCCATTCCAGATGTGGTCATTCACCGATTCCACACGCCCCCCACCCCCCCCAACCCCGCCCCGCCACTTGAAGCCAGTGTGCTCCTGAACATGGACCAACCCGCTCCTGCATGATCCCATTCCCAATCATCTTTGTCATATAACCCCCTTGCAGATAGTCCATCTGTTGGCTCGATACTATGTCCCACCTCTTGAGTAACCTATCTGAATAGCCCCAGTTGAGAAGTGCCCAGACTTTGACTTTCTGTGCCAGAATCGCCTGATGGATGGACACACCTTTGGATTTAAGTGAAGACTACTCACCAAGATTTTGGTACATGGCTGATTGCTTACTTCACTTGCAGTGTGTTCGCCTTGGTAAGCAGCTATTGTGGTACACTTATGAGACAGTACACTGCCATACAAGTTGTACGCCCCTCAACTGAGGATGCAACGTGGTTCAATCTGTGGCCTGGGTACCTGTCTGTATGCACAAGGTGTCCCTTTGCAGCCTTCTAATGTTAGTTGCTGGTCCACCCTGCAATCCAAGTCTGTGCTTCCAGACTGCCCTGCCAGTGTGTTGGAGAGGTGTAATGATGATTGTGAAAGATTGGCAAATGCGGAATACTAATGACTGTATTTGAGCGGGTTGTACAGCCAGTGCCTATAGATTATGCCCTTGACTGCAAATTTGATTGAGTGCCACAGGGAGGTCATTCAGAACAAGGAGCAAACTGAATCTGCCAGATACCACTCTAGTTTCCTTATCCGCTTTTCTCAAGGTGAGTCTAGCAAGCTAGAAAGCAGAATATTAATGAGGTGAGTAAGGTTGTCAACAAAGCATTTAGCAAACAATAATCCTCCTTAACTGGCAAATTGCTGCTGCATAGTGTGAGCCTCACGGTGCCACTTGAGAAAAGCATTAAAAGTGGAGTAAGATGCTCCCAACATTAAATTCAGCCTCTCAGTCTGCTCATCTGCATCTGCCACAAATCCTGCAATAGCCCACATCACTCGGAGCCCCTAAAGATTCCATCATATATGTTTGTAAATGTAGTGTAAACAGCATATTAATCATTTTGGCTATATAGACAAATGTTTTCAAGGAAACCGTAGCTGGCATAAAGTTACTAAAATATGAGCCAAAGACGAGTTGATAAAATTGCTGCGTTACAAGTCATTAATTACATATGTCAGAAGTGACGACCAGTGACAAAAGAGACTGATGAGATTTGATCACTAATTTTATGGGGCATAATTGGTCCAAATCATGTAGCTGTTGAATTAATGATCAAAAACTTTGTGTTCTTGAAGGTGTCTCCTGCTTTGCATTTGCATCACTCTGAAGAAAGTTGTTCAGATTGTATACATAAGGAATATTTGTCACTAACCTTGAATTCTTTATTCGCAGGAACTGAAAACTGAGACATTGTGTCCTAAATTGAGAAAGTAAGAAACGATCCATGCATTTATAAACATCTTTCCCTCAGGATTTTCCAAAGTATATCATAGACAGTGAATCACTTCTGAAGTGCTGCCACTTGTGTTGAAACCAAACACAGCAGGTAATATGCATGGATAAAGTCTGGCAGTTAGCAAAGAAAATAAATGATCAGTTACTTTATTTTGGTGGTGTGGCTGGAGATAAATATTGACTAGGATAGCTCCCCTACTGTTTTGCAAATAGTACCACAGAATTTTTTAGGTTTAAAGGCACCTTAGTATAACATCTCATTTTAAGACAGTATTTCCAATAATGCAGTACCTTCTTCTTGGGACCTTCTCATATCACTACAAGAACTAACACTGAGTCAAAGTGACACTGAAGACTAACTTTAGGAACAGGGTAGTAATAATTTAATCTAAACATTTTTACATTTTTTTTCTTAATAGGATAGAATTTTACCCATTAATTTGAATGAATTACCAATATTACACTACCTCTTCGGGTGTAGAATTTGAGTCAAACTGAGCTTTTTAACCTGCTGCCAATATTAATTAGTAACAATAATAATTCACTTGCCTTCCATATCTGAACAAATATGATCTCTGAAGAAAAAGCAAAGTTATCAGTGCATGTTGCTAATAAGAATGTTTCCATGTTGTTCAGCAATCAAGTAAACTCATTTAGTTTGAGGGTTGATGCTAATAAACTGCTTATCTCACTAGCAATAACAACAGAAAAGACTATAAATAAACTGATACATTGGTTTTCTGTGACATGCTTTGTAAGGGGAAAGGTATGATATGCTGTTTGATGTATAATTGAAGCATTGCCAAAAAACATATAGATAGGAAAAATAAGCAATCAGACAAAAGAATTGAATGTACTAATTTCATTTTAAATAATGTACAGTATTATGACACAAATATATCAATATATTTTGGATATGTACCATTGTAAGGGTTTTTAAAGACTGCTTTTATTGACTATTTCAAATTTGACATTTATTGTTATGTTTGTCATATTCAACGTCAACACCTCGGGGGAGAAAACAGATCCCAAAAGCAGCATGAGTTCAGAAAAATCAATAAAATTCTATTTTTATTTTGAACATCATTAAACCTCAAGAAAACACTAACATGCTGGAATTAAGCTCAATAGCAACCTACAATTATTTACAACATTTATAGTCACCACCTTTACAGCCTCAGTGACAGTTCCAAAAATAATGTAAGTTTTCACAATAACAAAATATTGTAAAGCTGTATTAGCAGTGAAATGCATTGTTAGTAATTGTGAATGGATTATGTTCTGAAAAATGGTGACTGATAAAATTGATCTATAAACTCACATGTAGCCAATCCAATGTTGTAAATACTGATATTTTTGAAATATGACAAGCATAGTTTTTTAGTGTGTACATTAAAAATATTGTGATAGAATCATAGAGTCATAGAGCTGTACAGCATGGAAACAGATTCTTTAGTCCAACTCATCCATGCTGGCCAGATATCCTAAATTAATCTAGTCCCATTTGCCAGGATTTTGCCCATATCACTTTAAACCTTTCTTATTCATGTACCCATCCAGATGTCTTTTAAATGTTGTAATTGTACAAGCTTTCACCACTTCCTTTGGCAGCTCATTCCATACACATACCCCCCACCCCAGGAAAAAAAAAACCTTGGCTCTTCATCCTATTCTATCCATGCCCCTCATGTTCTTGTAAACTTCTATAAGGTCACACCTCAGCCTCCGACGTTCCAGGGAAAATAGCCCCAGACTATTCAGCCTCTCCCTGTAGCGCAAACCCTCCAACCCTGGCAACACCCTTGTAAATCTTTTCTGAACCCTTTCAAGTTTAACACAATCTTTCCTATAGCGAGGAGACTAGAATTGAACATATTATTCCCAAAGTGACCTAAGCAAAGTCCAATACAGCCACAATATGACCTCCCAACTCCTATACTCAATGCACTGATCAATAAAGTTACTACCTGTCTACCCTTCACTAGCTGTCTACCTGGGACTCCACTTTCAAGGAACTGTGAACCTGCACTCCAAGGTCTTTTTATTCAGCAACACTCCCCAGGACGTTACCTTTAAGTGTATAAGTTCTGACCTGATCTGCCTTTCCAACATGCAGCACCTCACATTTATCTAAATTAAAGTCCATCTGCCACTCCTCAGCCCTTTAGCCCATCTGATCAAGGTCCCATTGTACTCTGAGGTAACATTCTTCACCATCCACTACACCACCAATTTTTGGTGTCATCTGCAAACTTACTGACCATACCTCTAAATGATGAAAAGCAGTGGACCCAGCACCGATCCTTTTGGGACACCACTGGTCACAAGCCTCCAGTCTGAAAAGCAATCCTCCACCACCACCATCTGTCTTCTACCTTCGAGACAGTTCTGTATCCAAATGGCTAGTATTCCCTGTATGTGATCTAACTTTGCTAGCCAGACTATCATGAGGAAACTTGTCAAATGCCTTACTGAAGTCCATATAGATCACATCCATCACTCTGCCCTCATTAATCCTCTTCGTCAGCTCTTCAAAAAACTCAATCAAGTTAGTGAGACATGATTTCCCACACACAGAGCCATGTTGACTATCCCTAATAAGTCCTTGCCTTTCCAAATACATGTAAATCCTGTTGCTCAGGATTCCCTCCAACAACTTGCCCACCACCGATGTCAGGCTCACTATCTGCAGTTCCCTGGCTTTTCCTTACCACCTTTCTTCATGCAGAGGATAATTTCGTTACCTGAATTGTTGTAATAATTATCAAGGTTTTTCAATGTGCATTTTGACAAAACAAATACAATACTTTGAGCTTTTTTTATATAAGGAGCAAATGCGGAACCGGGAATTAAAATAATTAAATGTTTCTGTCACTCCTATACAATCTGTGGATATTGGTTAAAAACTAATTTAAAAAGCACTTGCATAAGGAGAAAAGACTGAACAACAACTTTATCAATTGTTTAAGTGCCACTGAATTTTGAAGGGTATTGTTAATGTATTTTGCTGCCTTTTGAGATAATTAATATATATGTAATTACCAATTCAGCATTCGACACTAAATAAAGATATATAATTGGCATACACATATAATTGATGCAGAAATTATTGACCATGGTACAAAAATTACTGAATTCTTGATCCTTGGCGTACAATATAGCACAAACCATCCTCATGATGTAATACAATGTTCATGAACTCTGTGAGCTAATTCTATCCATGACACCATCTTCTGTTCCCTCAATCCTATTCCCATGAATTTTCTGATGACCCAACTTCTCCTGGTACTCTTGATCTTAAAAATGGTTCTGTCTCTTCGTATATTGTTCCTCCTTCCTTTAAATTTTCCATCATCATCCTTCTCCTCCAGAAGAAAACCCTCAATTACACTGTTCTTGCAAACTACCATCCAACCTCCTTTTCATTTCCAAATTCTTTGAATAAGTTGTTGCGTCCTGGTCTTATCCTCTTGTTTTTCAGAACACTATACTTGAATCCCTCCAATCAAGTGTCGACCCCTACCATAGTTCTGTAATTGATTTTAGCAAATTCATAATCGGCATCAAACATGATTATGAGAAAGGTAGACATTCCATCTTTGATCCTTTTCAACCTTTCTGCAACCTTTAGCATGGTTGACTGTACCATCCTCCAATATTTAAAAACCAAAAGACCTGCAGATGCTGTAAATCAGGAACAAAAACAAAGTTGCTGGCAAAGCTCAGCAGTTCTGGCAACATCTCTGGAGAAGAAAACAGAGTTAATGTTTTGGGTCTGGACACTGATTCTGAGGAAGGGTCACCGGACCCAAAACGTTAACTCTTTTCTCCTCCACAGATGCTGCCAGATCTGCTGAGATCCTCCAATATTTGTCCAATTAAGTGGAACTGCTGTCAAGTGGTTTCAGCCTTATCCATTCAGTTGTAGCTAGATAATCACTTGCAATGTCACTTTCTGCTCTTGCCTCATCATGACTGGTTCCCAAGGATCTATCCTTGGTCCTCTCCCATTTCTCATCTACATCCTGCCCGTCAACAACAACATCTGGTGGTGCAGTGATAGTTTCCAAATGTATGCTGACAAAACCTCCAATTAAGTATTGGGAAGACCAAAGACATTGTTTTCCGTCCTCATTCCAAACCCGATTCCCAAGCTACCAATACCATCGCTTTCACTGGCAACAATGTGAGATTCAGTCTATCTGCTTGCATCTTTAGTGTCACAAAAATGTCACCAAGCTTTTAATTTAATATCTCCTTTATATGGCTCGGAGTGATACTTTGCTTTATGATATTCCTGTGAAGTGCCTCGGGACATTTATTGTGCTAAAGGGATTTTTAAAAATATATTTACTTGTTGGGACATCGGTGTTGCTGGCTAGCCAACATTTATTACTCATCCCTAGCTGCTCTTGAGAAGGTGGTGGTGAGCTGCCTTCTTGAACCGTTGCAGTCCACATCCTGTAGGTTGACCCACAATGCCATTAGGGAGGGAATTCCAAGATTTTGACCCAGTGACACTGAAGGAACGGTGATAATTGCCAAGTCAGGATGGTGAGTGACATGGAGGGGAACTTACATGTGGTGGCATTCTAATGCATCTGCTACCCTTGTCTTTCTAGATGGAAATGGTCGTGGATTTAGATGTTGTCTAAGCATCTTTTGCGAATTTCTGCAGTACATCTTGTACACACGATATAAATTCTTGTTCATGTATTAATTTTAATTCAAACTTACTGTAGTTACAATCTTTAAAAGATGAGGAATTACGTGGATAAATTGAATATCTATTTTGAAATTCAATAGAAATTGCATAACTCTCAACTAAGATGGAACATGTAAACTTAAAGGATGAAAACAAGATCAAAAATATAATTTCCTGCATTTTCCATTTCTATTTTAAAACAAAAGGGGCCTTTTGTAAGGTTTCTTTAGTGATTATATTGCCATCATGTGGAGAAAGTAAGATTAGCTGTTAACATGACTTTCAACATCACCGGTCCACTTCCAAAGTTACATATGGGCAGTGAAGGCCAAATATAAATTTGAGATGAAACCTAAGGGGTTACTTGGAGCAGATTTTGAAAAAAAAATTGAGTACCTATTTTCAAGTCTCCATCTGTTGAGAAGCAGAGAAGAACTAGTTGTTGTTGTGTAGTGTTTTGGATCTAAAGTTCATGATGCAAATGGACTAATATCATTGGTACAATAAGTATGAAAGATTTACTGGATGTTCTACATTAGCAGATAAACAGAGCATGGCACAGAAGAGGGAAGACAGGGAAATTGTATGGAAATGGAGAAGGAGCTGGTCAGGTGTGTAAGAGAGAGGCAAGAGTTGGAGAGTGGAAATGGAAGATACAAGGGCCAGGGTGAATCAAAGGTATTTGTGACACAGGATGACAAGGAAACATGACATGTGGATGAGACAATATCATGTATAGCGTGAAGGAAAAGGACTGAAAATGGGGAAAAGATGGATTGGAAGAAGATCAAAAAATACTCCAAGCAAGGTGAAAGAGCTGGAAAAGAAATACATGCAGTCAACAGAGAAAAGTTATTCACTAAAAAAAAAACTACTAAACATTCATCAAATCTCCACTCTGCTCTCACCATCATCTCTTTCATCTCTGACTCCTCCCTTCCGTTCCCTTCCTCGACATCTGTTTCCATTTATGGGGATAGGCTGGTTATCTAAGTTCATTACAAACTCATCAACTCCTACAGTTACCTATACAGTTACATACTTATACATTTGCTTTCTGTAAAGACACCATTCCATTCTCCCAGTTTGTCCATTTCCACAGCATTGGTGATGCAACCAGACACAGTGTTGGTGGGGGCGGGGGGTTCAGAGGTGTCCACCTTAATCTCAGCTGAGGATTTCCTAGCACTGTGGTTGACAGGGCCCTCAGCTGTGTACGTTCCTTCTCTTCCCTCCCCCTTCATCCTCACCTACCATTCCACCAGCATCTGCATCCAAAAAGTTGCCATTTTCTCACCTCCAGCAGAGTGCCACCACAAGACACATACTGCCCTTCCCTCCCTTGTTAGCCTTCCGCAGGGACTATTTCCTCTGGGACATCTTGATCCATTCCTCCTGTAGTCCTAACACCACCCCTACCCCCATGGCATCTTCCCATGCAAACATAGAAGGTGCAACATTTGCTTGTTTACTTCCTCCTCACTATCCAAGCCTCCAGAACACAAGGTGAAGTGGCAATTTACTGGCACTAAACCCAATCTAGTCTACTCTAGTCACTGCTCACAATGTGGTCTCCTTTACAGTGGGGAGACAAAATGCAGGTTGAACCACCGCTTTGCAGAACCACCTACATTCTGTCTGCAAAACTGACCTTGAGCTTCCAATTGCCTGCCATTTCAACACACTGTGTTCCCTAGTCAACATCTCTGTCTCAGGCTGGCTGCAGTTTTCCAGCGAGGTTCAGCGCAAGCTGGAAGAACAGCATCTCAATTTCCATTTGGGGACCCTGCAGCACTCAATGTTCTTAGGGCATGAACACCTTCTTCCATGGCCTTTACATATCCGCACACCCCAGCCCTGTCATGACAAGGGCTGCTTACATGACAGCGAATGCATTTTCACCTGCTAACAGTCCCCATTATTGGCTTTTTATTTCTCCCTGGCTCACCATTATCCATCCCTTGTTTGCCCAACTGCTGTTCTGTCTCTCCACCTATCATGTACTTCTTCCCCAAACCCCCCTCCATCTTCAGCATATATACTAAATTTTCCTAGCTACTATCAGTTCTAAAGAAGGGTCACTGCACCTGAAACATCAACCCTGCTTTCCCTCCATGGATGCTCCCAGACCTGCTGAATTTCTCCAGTAATTTCTGCTTTTGTTTCAGAGAAAAGTTGTTACCTATGAGAAGATATAAAAGTTTTACATGGTAGCTCACTGTGGTCTCCCTGATAATAGGTAGGTCTGAAAATATGGCTGTAAATACTCTCTTTTTTTAAGGAATGAATGTGAAATTCCATAGTTCTGGTCGTGGAGAAGTATAAAGGGGCAAGAGATGGAAATTGATATAACATAGTCATGTAAGCAGCAAACAGAATACATTGCTTTTAACATTGCGAAGCATTTGGGGAAACTAATGGGTAATTTGGCAGTGAACAATTACAGTTGGTTAGTATTGGTCCAGAAAAAAACTTCAGTGAAAAGACTAACCTCTATTTTGATTATTTTACAAAACTTTTCTCATGAATAAATAAATAAAACGGCAGAGAAAAACAATTATGCTGGATACTGCTCTGACAGCTTCAACAGTGTGATACAGGTCCAGGTAGGCCATGGTTGAATCGACTGTGGAATTCTCCAAAGAGATTGTACAAAGGAGCAATCGGAAGCGACAGGGGAGCCATCAGAGGAAACTAAAAAGGAAATTCATGAAGATGAGTCAGGAAAGAATGAGATGGAGGGCTGAGGAAATGCCTGATAATGATAATGTACAGATTGAAAAGCAAAAAATATATTTTTGAATATTCTCTAAAGGGAGTAAAAATTTGGAATGTTTGCTATTTTTGGCACTTAGCAGTTCTACTGTTTAGCTACAAACATGCCACTCAGTTAGATCTAGTGGGAGCCAGCTTGTCATACTATCTGTGATTGAGATCGGTTTTAGGTGTCAACTAACTCACCACCTCCACTGCTGAGTCATTTCACTTAATTGCAAATCAGTTTCATCAACCTTGTCGATGAATCACAGGCCTCAACAGTGGCATCTGGCTCACCAAAAGCTGCCACCCATAAAATGCTGGCAACTTTTGTGTCCTAGAGGCCATTGATTGCTGCCTACTGTTCAGAGAAAGGAATTTAATGGTCAGAAGGTAGGTCTTTTTCCTTCTTTCAGGGTGGAGTTAGTGTGGAGGTGGGGAGGCCCTGAAGTTGGAGGCAAGAGTTGGGGGATAACTTTCAGAGATCACCCCTTTGCATTCCATCTGCATGTCTGATTTCTGCTAGATCGAGACAAATGCAGGTCTCCCTGCCAATTTTGCAGGCAGGTTTCCCTGCTTTTTCAATCGAAAACTATAGCCACTTTTCTCACCTTCCCTGAGGCAG